TTAAAAGCTGTTTTTGCATTAATGATGCATAGAAGGCTCGCAGTGTGGAAAAGGGTGATTTTAAAAATGTGTTAACAACATTTTAAAATGGAATAAAAGTGAACAGAGGTACTCAGCAGCATAATTCTTCCTGAAAAGACTGGAATTCTACCTGGTTCGGGGCTATTTCGCAGGCAACCTCAAAATTTGGGGGCTGCCCAACAGAAAGGTACAGGGGGTCAATGACGAGTAAAGAACATTCAAGAGTCCTTGCTAGCTCTGGAACAGAAACGAAGCGGATTTCTACATTCCCATGCATCAGATGTTTCCTGGTGTTTTGCACAGATCTTTTTGCCAGCTTTCCGAGGCACTGTGCCCAGGAATTGATTACTGGATGTTTACAACAGCCTAATAGCAACTTGAGACAATTATGGATTGCTGGATTGGAATACTCTGCTCCTCTTTCCACTCTGGCAGCCTGATGCCCAGGCCCGTGCCTGGCTCCAGGCCGCTCTCCGGAGAGGGAATCTCAGCAGGTATCCTTCAGTCGGATGTGTTGGAGAGCTGTAAAGGGACACGACAGTGGAATGCTGCTGCAGGAAAGCAGGATGGGCGTCCTCTTCCCACACCCCCTGCTCGTGGTCACAATAACTGTCCCACCTTCATAATTAATAAAACAATCCCCTTCACCCTATGACGGCAGGCCCTGGCTTCGCCCCTCAGCGCAGCCCGTGGCCACGTCCCGGGCCAGGAGGTGCAGCCACAGGCTCAATAAACACACGAGCACTTTGGGGAGCATCTTCTCCATTTGCAACCTGGCGAGTGGCTCCGTGGCTTCCCAGCACGGCCCTGCGCCCTCCCTTTAGGCAGCAGCAGTCTCAGCTTTCTCAGCTTCCCTTCCTTCCTCCGCCTTTTTCCTTCTTTTCTTCCCCCACAAACGCTCTCCGTGGCCTCATTACACACACTGGGAATGAATGTTTTTAAATGAGAATTTCCCGAAGCCAGAGGCCCAGAAATAATTTGCTGGAGATATCCAGCCGAGCTGATGAGCAGAGGCTTGGGGGCTTTTTAAAGGTCCTGTCTGAACCATGAACTGCTGTTTTCACCTTGACAACCAAATATTCGCAGCAATAGGGAAAACTTACAGGGGTTATGCAGGCTGCTAACAAGCAACCCAGTTTGCCTTAGCACCTCCCAGGCCTCCAGTTTTGCATCTTGTTTCCTGATTGCCTGCATCAGGATGCAATTATACAATTACCTCCTATTTCATTCACTTAAAAGGTCATGATTATCAGCTGCTCTGGGCAGGCGCTCGACAACATCCCCACTCGGTCTCTGGATGCCCAGGCCTGTGCTGTGAGACGTGAATCCTGGTGCTGCTGCTGCTCTTCACCTTTCCTGCAGCTAAAGCAGGGCCCAACTGGAGGCCTTTCCATCTCCTAAACCTCTGGGACAGAGCGATCCCAGCTGCAACGCTAAATCATTCCAACAGCAGCCTCTGCATTGAGGAGGGCGGTTGCTACAGCTGCCAGGGAGCTTTGCATTTGAGAAAAGCCTTGCAAAAAACTCAGGCACAAACTAGGTGCGTTTAACTCTTTGTTCATAGCCACAGCGCAAAAAATGCAGGCACAAACCAGGTGCATTTAACCCTCTGTTCATAGCCACGGGGCTAAACTGCTGCCATTTCACTATAGAAATGTGTCGCATGCCCGAGCGGGAGCCTCTCACAAGGCATCGGCCACGCGGTGGGTGGGAGGACAAGGCCCACGGCAGCGAGAACAAGGGGTCGAGCCTTCGAGGTGCCACTTATCAGTGACATTTGCAGCAGCCCCTGCAAATCAAAGCCCACCCCAATTCGTGAAAGATCAGTGCTAGTTTTGGGGGGTAAGAGTGCAGTTGGTGGCTTGTCCCTCTGTACTGTGGAGTAGGGGGGAAAGGGGAAAGAGGAGGGTCAAGAAAAGCATGAAAATCTTCATGCCAAGAGCTTAGAAAACCCAACTATCCAGCCCCAAAACGCTGGGCTCCTCTGCACTGTACTGGAGCACAGGCCTCAGCCAAATCCTCCAAGAATTTCTGGCTCCCTACGGCTTTCCAGTCTTCCTTCTGAGGAGGAAGGACACAAATCCAAATAAAACTCCTCTTCCCAGCAACTCTGTTCTCCAAGACGGAGTCATCCGTCACTTGGGATTTTTTTCAGTGCTATCACAATGTGCAGAGGTCACAGCACAGATCCCAAACGCAGGCATTAGCAATGGAATCCCCAGGGGGTGAGAGCACGGGATGGGAAGAGCACATGGCTGCCCAAGGTCTGTAAAATTCATGTACAGACCAGGGGTTCGATAATCTCATTTGAAAACGTTTCAGTTAATTCCCTCCTTGGAAAATCTTCCTATCTCAAGCAGAATTGCACCCAGCAGCGCAGCTATTAACTGAAGCACATGCCTTTCCTATGAGAATGATGTCCTAATACTTACTGTCACTTCCAGGTCCCACCAGCACTGGTTTTGCCACCTTTTAAGTCCAGTTTCTCAAATGTCACCTGTCACGTTGCCTCTCCCAGAACAAGCCTCCCTTTGCTCCTCAACTCTGAGGAAGGAAAAGGCTGCAATCCCGTGGGGTCTGCAGCTTTGCTAACAGCTCTTTCTGCTCTGGCACTTGCAGATCTTCAGTGAGTCAGAAGCAGCCATGAGTTCCCATCAATTACTTTGCCCTTTCAGACCGACACCTCTCAGCATTGCCCAGTACTTGGTCAGTGGTGACCTGCAGAGCTGCATTAGCCCCACTGCTGCTCTTTAGCTCTGTCCCTGTATGAGGACATGATTCTCCACCACAAGTAATATCACATTTGAGCAATACTTTCACCATAGCTGTGCTGCAAGTTACCTGCAATGGGATTTTCATCATATGCAAAAGGGTAAAATTCAGCATAAGAGCTCTGAATTGGCTAAGTTATTTCAGTGCTGCTAGTACTAACATCAACAGGCTCAATTTGAGTTGTCACCTCTATACTGAAGTAGCCTCTGTCCACGTAGTCTCCCAGGAAGAGGTAGCGGGTGTTATTGGGTGAGCCTCCAACTTCAAATAACTTCATCAGGTCAAAAAACTGCCCATGAATGTCACCGCACACTGGGGGAGGAAGAACAGCACAAAAGAGGGTCAGAATTACATGCTAAGAAAAGAAAGGTCATGACAGCAACAGGGAGCATAGCACGGCTTCGCTCTGACCTAAGCCACCCCACTTTATATCCAGCTTCTGTAAAGATGTGCTCAATCTGCCCTAGCAAAACCCTCTCTTCTGAGAGTTCATATAAAAACCTCGCTGGTGCAAGGAGCACAGCAGAAACGCTGCGACTTGGAGCAGTTTGTTTCCTAGCTGTGTCTCCTTTAGGATCGCAGCCATGGGAAGCATTCTGACCTGTGATGGGAGCCTCCACTTCGATCATGGTCTTCTCGTGCCGAAGAATGGCAGCCCCGTCGTTGATGATCTTGAGGGCAGCATCTTCTTCCAGGCGCCCTTCCTTCACCAAGTGGCTCTTCAAGACGTCGAGCCGAGGCTTCCCGTCCTCAAACACCTCCTTCAGAGTGAGCCGCTGCGTGGGCGGGAAGGGGACAGCTGGAAAGGGAAGCGGAGAAGTTAGCACAGCTCTTTCAGGGGACAGAGCTGCAGTCTTTTTGGCAGGAGCTGCTCCTTCCGAGCTGAAGGACGAGCACGCATTCAGCAAGACGCTCGCGCTAAAATTATGCTCTCGAATACCCAAAGAAGAGTAGGGCTGTCACAGCAACCAAAGCTACACCCCTCAGCACGGCTAGGAAGCCGCCCAAATGCCATATGCATCCCCAGAAAACGCAGGCAACGAAGCCCTCTCCCACTTCGGTGAGCTTAGCTGCCATAGCATTGTGTTATGGCAGGACTGCATGCAACGAGTGCGAACCCTCTGATTGACTCATCTACCCTTTCCTAGGCCAGGTTAATTAAAAACAGAGAAAATAATAAAAAAGACGACCACGTGACTCTCCCATCACACTGAAAGGCTTAATTCAAAATAAATGGCAGGAAGGAGGGCTGGATGTTTGGAAAACAAAGGAAAAGTGGAAGTAAAAGCCCACTGAGCAGATGTGAAGGCAGCTGCTCCCGCTGACGGCAGCGCTTTGCATCTCAACACAGCGATGGGCACCCCAGGCTTGTGCCCCGACCCTCACTGGGCAAGCCCAGGGCTGCCCCAAAACGCAAAGGCTCCAAAACCTGGAGCTTTCTGTGGGTTTTTAGTCCTCCTGATGCCAGGGCGCTGCTGAGCCCGCAGCCATGCGCAGGGTGACGTGTCACCTCCTGCACGTCCATACGATTTGCACTTAACTGGAACCCAGCTAGAGGAGAAAGGTGCAGAGGAAGCTCATGGGCTCCCCAGCCATCCCCTGGCAAATTTAATGGGTAGCAACCTTGCAGCAACCACCAGCAATGCAAGGAGCTCTTTTAAATGCAAATCGAGGAGCCGTTTAGTTGAGAAACCCAGGGGGCAGAAAGCAGAAAGGCAGCACAAGCGATTCTCTGCAGCTTGAACATCAATTTCCAAATCCCACGAAATGTAGGACAGAGGAGAACGAGCACAGATATAATGAAAGGGGACCTCAGTGCCAGCTATAACGTGGCCCTCTTTCATCTGCTGCTTTGAAAGTTTGGCTCTGCTGGTCGGGCACTTGCGAAGTGCCCAATGGGCCTTGAACAGTCCAGGACACACGCGGTGCTTTCCCCAAGGAGCCGCCAATTAAAGAGGTTTAAGCCAGAGCCCTGCACGTACCAATGCAAGCTTGGCACGGTATTTTTACTGCATGAATTGCTCATCTCTATGGCCTAAAAAGGGTGACCTCTTTGGTAACTGATGAGAAACTCTACATTTTGCAGAATTTAGTTATCTTCCCTCCACGGTGTCTGGATTTCTGTAAGGGCAGCGTCATTCGCACTGCAGAAGGAAGCAGTGGGTCTTACATATGAAGAGGTTCAGATGAAGAAATGGGAGCTGGAAAGATTTCACTGCAAACACACGTGCAGGACTGCTGGATTCACAGGTACCTGGACGGACCAGGCACTTGTCCCAGCGCCTGCATCTGATTCCAAAGGAAGCCTGGGAGCACCTGAAGGTCAAATGATTTGCAAGGAAGAGAAGAATATTCAGGAGAAGTAGGAATTTTCAGCACAAACTTCTACATTATTGCACATCCAGGCCTTCAAGAATGGCCACTAGTTCCAGAGCCAACCTGAGCTAGCTAAGAAAAAAGCCCACAGAAGTTTCCACAGAAAGTTTAATGAAAACAGCACAAAGTGACCAGAGCTGCAATGCCCATCATGCAATTCAGAAAAGATGCACAGAAAGCTCCTGGCAGAGGCTGCTTTGCCTTTTCTTGGTAGCCCTAAGCGAGCAGAGTTATGCAAGATAAAATATGAGGATATGCCGACGCGAGCAGCCAAGAACTTTTATGTAAGTTCTCACTGCTGGCTTCGCACAACTCGACTCCCACGAGGAGCCGGGCACGGCAAGGAAACAAGGAATTGGCTCTGCACGTCTGCAAGCCAAACCCCAGCGCGTGGCTGCAAGCTTCAAAGAAAGAAATCTGCTCTGGAAAAGCAAGACCAGGACGGTTTGGGGGATGTACGGACACGCAGAGACCTCGGAGGAGACAAGGGATTGCTCCGTGTTGCTCCTTTTCCACCTGAAATGTTTCCCACCTCGGGTTGGGCTAGCAAAATGCCATCCACGATGGCCGTTTCCTGCATGCAGCGAGGAGGACAAATACTTAAGTAATTAGTGTGGTCAAAGCAAGTAATCCTGTTAGCCAGTATAACTTGTATAAAGGCCTTCACCAACACAGTGTGAGCAGTTATCTGACACTGGTACCCCTTTTTTTTTTAAGATCTAAAGGTTTCCCTGGCTAATGCTCAACGCTGTTGAAGTGACCCATCGTGTAAGAAGGTGCAGGGGATGGAGGAGGCCCTGCTGGCCTTGCCTTGCAGGGCACGTGGCTAAAACCTTTCACCTTGAGGCAAGGGGACAGCAAAGTGTCCTGCTCATTCCAGAAATACATCATCCCACCAAACCTTTGAGCCAGAGCACCAAACTGACCCGCACAACCAGCTCCTTTCTTGCAGGAAAACGAAGGATGGGGCATCCACAACATCCAGCTGCTTCTAGACATGTCTTGCTGTGATCTTCACGCCGTCTTTCTCCTGCTTACATTGCGCCCAGGCTGATTTATACAACAAAACCTCTAGGTCTGGGGCTTGCAATTCCTCAAGGGCATCAGCCCCCGGCCGATGAATTGCAGGGAAAACGCTGCAATTCCCACCCTGCTAAGAGGACGGACATGAGCGCCCAAGCCCTGCGCATGGAACACAAGCACGGGTGAACTTTGAGGTGTAAAATGGATTTAAAGGTCGGCTGTGCTATAAAGAGCACAGCAAAAGGAGAGCAGGATCTTTGCTGGTCTACAGTGGAAGGGTGATCTGCCAAGAAATTAATGCAGAATTGCCAGTCCAGGGGCACATGGGTGTTTCTGACAACTAAAAAGGAGGCTATGGATAGGGAGGGATAGGAGAATTCGACAAAAAGCTGCTTTTTTACCATGAACTCTGCAAAACCAGACAGCCGAGTCCATCAGCAAATGAGCTCATCTGCTTGTCCCCTGCCACCAGACCTGGACCGTGCCACCACGTCCACACGTCGGCCGTGTCCCTGTTCCTCACAGCCCTTCCAGCACGGACAGGGTCCAACCACCTGCCCCAGCAGCAGCTCTCACCACAGAGGGTTAAAACCAAACCTGGATCCTGCCATCCGTGCTGGAGGTTGCATGAGGACAGCCTTTCCAGGGCCAAAAGGGCTGAGTGATGCACACCTCCTGAGAGAGCAGCCAATGCCACGGAGGAGAAACCAAAGTGATTATCGTATTATTGTTTATACATTTAAGAGTCACTCGGATGACTGTGCAGAGCAGCAAGTGGGATTCATTACTGAAAAAGGAACAAGTAGTATTTACGACAACTAGGCAAGACTTAAGTGTTTCCCCAACCAGCTGGGGCTTCTGAAGAGAGGGGTGTCTGGCACCCAGGGCCCCAAAAGCCACACGGGATTAAAAACACTCAGTAGGAAACTTGGGGGATTGTCCTGTGGGTCCCGACCCATGTGGGGATGCATCTACGGAGTGGGTCATGCAAGAGTCTCTGCCTGCTCCTAGTCAAACACATGGCATCACAGGCAAAGACCTGAACAGAGGGGGTATAGATGCTTTTTGGGGAGAAAAAGTACGTTTCAGGCATTCTCAAACTGCAAGTCCAGCCCCAGCAAAACTAAGCAAAATCAAAGCCATCATTTCTATACTCAGAAACACAAGGTACTAATAAATTCCAGTTACTGAACCCTCCCCACTCGTGGTAGAAGGCATTTAAAATATTTGACTGACATTAGCTAAAAAAAATGACAATTCAGGATGACGGAGAGATCTAAGTGTTGAGAAGATCAGATGCAGCTGCCAAAGGTAGGAACACCCTGGGCAGAAAGACTGCATGGGAGGCAAATCTGTCACCTCTGAGAGGCTAAGAAACAGCTACTGTTGAACCACTGACAGCAAGAGCAGGAGGTCAGTGGTTTTCTTCCCAATATCCAAATAGCCCGACGCTATTTTTATCAAACCCCTATTGCCATTCACGTGTAACCTACATCCTTTCATTGAGAGCTGAGCAAAGATGAGGGCTCCACGGCGGAGTGGCCGGGAGAAGCCCACCCGGTTGAGTGACGCCAGGCAGCAGCGATGCCGCTTTGTGGGCACAGGAGGCTCCGGTTTCCGCACCGCGTTAGCAGTAATTAACACAGGATGAGTGCTCCGAAGGCAGGTGATGGATGGCATCTCTGTCACAGCTCCAGCTGCTCCATTTGTCCCGGTGTTTCTCTATTTAGGGGTCCTGCAACATCCTCCTGTGGTTCAAGACCACACGTGCCTCCCTTGCCCAAGTATCTCCTCCAGGTGCCGTAAGATCCCACGGTGTCCGCTGTGCGGATCGAGAGAGGAGATCCAGAGAAGCGGCATTCCAAAGCAGAGCCCCAAGGGGAGAGCTCCCAGCCATCAGCTTCTCACCAGGGCTGGGATTTCAAGCATTAATGGCACTGCAGGGCCGGCTGCTACACTCAGAAAGCCAAGCAAAGCCAGGAAAGGATGCGGAGGTTCAGCCACCAAAAGCAAGGATGGGCTGAACCCCGGCAATTAGAACAAACTTGCCAAATCCCAACTTCCTGATGGTGCTAATATTTACAAACCTCCAATTTTAGCACAGAGTAACCTTTGCTTCTTGAAATTACGATCTGTACGAGTTTGTGGTCATAACAACCCCAAGGACTCTTTGCTGTAAGATCCCCTCTGCTCATTTACAGGAGATTTCCTCTCCCTTGGAGCGCCTCCGGGTAGGTTTACATGGGACTCGCCTGCAAAAACAGATGTGTTCTTGATAGCGATTTTTCAAAGCCTGGACCCAGCCCTGACAAATAACCCGTGTCATTTTTCAGTCTGAGGCGGTGCTGGCGCAGGAGTCCTGATCCTGCTATGCCACAGTGTTACTGCTCTCCAACTGC